TTTAGCTGAGGCTAGCCTTGAAAACCTGATTGCTCTGTTGGGATCACAGAAGAACGCCACCATACCAGTCAACGGAAATTTTTTATGCAATCCACCACTTTGTACAGCAAATTTACACAAAAGAAATGTTTGTGAAAAGAAAGATAGCAACAATTGTAGAGAAGTGAAGCTAGGGTTTTTGAACTTTCTTATTACGAACTTCTTTATAATGGGATTGTAATATGAATCACATTATTATTTAAGATATTCTGATATGCTTGATTTGGGCCCACAGCCAAACACAGCATGACGGTACATTAGCTGAGGAGGGATAGGAACATGGGTAGAAAAGAGGAAAGATATCAATAGTGGCAGGAACAAATAAACAGGACTTAAGGGAATTCAGCATCTGGAAGGTGTTCATCATTTTTAATTTACCTAGATTCCACTACCATGAACCCGTCTTATCCCCTGCACCTAGACGATGTCAATCTTTCACGAGCATCTGGTGAGACTGCAAGTACCTCCCCTAGCAGTCAGCAGTATCCTTGGGTATTGCATAGCAGGAGAGTATTTTCCCCTCATCAGAAGCAATGCAGACCGTGTTAAATCAAGCATGCTGGTTCATGTGTGTAGCAGCAGCTGTGACTTTGAGAAAGGGGGACAGAACAGTGACAGGGTAACGGACTTGTTGGAAGGCAGGGGTAATTTGGCCTGAATCAAAGTGGAAGGATGAAAGCAAGGGCCAGCTAATGGAGAGAGAGAAAAAGCTCAAGGTGCACAAGGAGGGATTAGCACATCTACCTGGAGCCCAGCTATGCTATGACTGTACATTAGAACCATGCAATTTGATTGCCTGGGCATGTGCCGCTATGCCCTTCCTTATACCTGTTAGGTCTCAGGCTAGTTTCATGTTTTTAAAGCTCAGTTTCCTCATCTAAGAGATGGTGACAATAATGTTAATTACTTCATAACTCAGGAATGTAATCCATTTATAGAGATAAAGCAAACAGAACAATGTATGTCATAGAGGACTCAACAGAAGTTACCTTTATCGTGATAATCTGATGTTCTCACCATAAAAGTGTAATTTTTATGCTACCTGGATTCTAAAATTATTCAGAGACAGAAATGCTCCTCAATGACTAGTGTGGCATTTCAGCCAGGTATTCTAGGATTTATTAGATTAGAAGTTATCATTCATATCACCTTACTTAAAATGTATCTGCTATAAGAATACATGCCATAGTCCTTAGAATTGATTTTCTCTATTCTGCCATTTGTACATTTCTAGATACATTTGCCATTTCTTTGATAATCACGTGTTTGAGTTACTGGGAGACACTTGGGACTTTCTTAAGTATGACATGTTAATCTTCTTAAAACCATACCGAAGAAGGCAAGGGGATGTTTAATAAGCTGTGTATGACTTGTTACACTATACCAGATTCATCAGGAATTGTTTGCATTTAGAGACTCACCATAAACTTCTGCCATCTAGAAAAGGACGAGATTTTTATAAAATGTAGCTTTTAGTTATTAACTCACAGGCATACCTGGTTTCCATACTTCTTCCTTCTATTCACGCACACTCTTTGAGAATGCTAATGAGCAATGAAATAAAAAAGAGCTGCTGAAAAGCACTCTAGAAGTGAACAAATGGACAGACCTTGGCTAACTGTGAGTCAGCTGTAGTGTTGCTATGTATTATTTTCTATGGGCAGGAAGTGGGTTTTAGATATACTCATAACCTGGAGAGACACTAAAGATTATATATATGTATATG